GTTGTTATGTAATATGTGAATGTCCATTACTTCCCGATCCATATGGGTTAAGCCCATTAACTAACGTAGTCGTAATCCCATTCTTCCCTGTGCATATACACTACATGAATGAAGATGTGTAGCTTTTGCTCTCGTTTCTAATAATTATAATATTATCATTATTACTTGAATATGAATAGTTCAACTAATTAATGAACATTGTGTTAGCTAGTAACATAGTACAAACTTGTAACTGTTATAGATATACCATTTAATATAATATTACAAATCACTACAGGCATTAACCCCATTGTTGGGTTGTTTGCCTACCCGGTTCAAAAATGAAAAGAAATAATATTACAAATCAATAATATCTACTAGACTACAACAACCTAATAACGATATATATCATTGTATAATTTCATATTATTTACTAATAATCATGATAACTATTTTATAAATGATTAAACCTACAATAAGATTACATATTATAAGATAGAGTTGATTGAATACGAAACACGATAGTATATATGTTGGGTTAATGGCCCAAATTGAGGTTCGGCCTATTCACCCCTACTTCCGGACGTATGTCCAGACAGACCACTAGGCTAGCATGGCAAGCCCATCTCCCCCAAGATGGACGAACGTCTGCAGATGGGGTTCAGGCTCAACGACCCATCTCGACGAACGTCTATGCAGAAACAAGGAGCAGGACCACGGGCCACCCGAATGGCGACGAACGTCGTCATAGCAAGCCCATAGCCATCGGAGGCAGTCCAGGCCACAGGGCCAGGGGACGAACGGCCAATACCCCCTGGAGGCCACCTGGAGCAGCTCTCCCCGAACGGACGAACGTCCCCACTAATTAGGCGGGAAACCTAGATTCTGGCGGGAAATGCATTTAATGCTGAAGATTTGGTGGTTGAGACACCAGCGAACCACAGGCTTCCACGTCAGTATAGCCAACTGCCCATTGGTGGGTATAAATAGAAGTATTTATTTATTTGTAAAGGGTTGGCAACCTTCTATTCTTAGCACTCTAGCTATAGCATTCTTACTCGCAGCACTTCTACTACCTTGTAAGACGAACGCCCGACGAGCCTTAGTGAAAAGTATTGTATTAGGGAGTTATTAAGAGATAATAATACCTAACCACTTACTTGCTGCTTACTGTTCTACTTGATCCATATTACTTGCTAGTTGGGCTAGATATTCATACACACTCCACTCGAAATCCTTGGGCTTACGTGTTGGACCCGAGGGTTGAAGGAATAAACCTCAACACTGGCGCTGTCTGTGGGAAACTGAACTAAAAGTTTCCAGAACTCTCCCAAACAACTACTAAATCTACCCACAGCAAGCACGATGGCAAGGAACAATCAACAACGCGACCTCTCCGAGCAGCTGTCCCGTGGGTGAAGCAACCGCGGGCAAACCACAGAACGCTCTGAGACGTTGGGAACTGCTGGGGTGATGGTGGCCTCACCAACCTCATCCCCCACGAGGCCAGATGCGACCCCCGACTCATGAGGGAGCTGGCGGAAACTATGCGCCGAATGTCGGATGAACAGGAGGCGGATGAGGAGGTGTACTCGGCTAACACCATCTAGACGCCCATATCACCCATCCACCACATGCAGTCCCTGGATGAGATAGCGGAATCTGCTGGGCGTCAGACGCCCGTCCACGCGAGGTTGGCCCAAAATCCGTCCTCCCCCGGGGCCGGGGGGCACATCAGCGTCAGTACCCCCCCGTTATGGTTGGCAGGACGATCATCGGGGGCGCACGCCGGACGTCTCCTCAGAACATCGGGGCACGGCGGCCACCCCTGCTGCCAGTAATATCGGACGACGCTTCCAGAGGCAAGGCGCCCATATTACCCGAAGGCAACCTGACGCGGTTGCCCCACGAAGGAACATTGTGCTCGAGGCCGCCCCTCTTGTGTCCCCCGGAAGGGCCGCACAGGAGGCTCGGCTAGAGGCAATGGAACAGCGGATAGCCGAAATGGACAGACGGGTGGAGGCCACCCCAGCTACGCCTCGTTTCTCCCTCACCTCACCATTTACTCCGAGGGTCATGAACGCAGAGATCCCGCGGGACTGCAGACCGCCCGGAGGAATAATATACAATGGGACCGGAGATCCCAAAGCCCACTTGATCAGCTTCCAGGGGAACCTCTCCATGCTGGGAGCGTCCGATGAGGCCATTTGCCAGCTGTTCTTTAGCACCTTGAGAGGCCCGGCGCAGGAATGGTTCGGGCAGTTGAGACCCGGATCCATCGACAACTACGAGCAGCTGTCTCAGCAGTTCATGGCGCAGTTCGCCGCTAGCACCACCCCCAAGAAGAGCTTCACACGCTCACCAGTGTGAAGCAGGGGAAGGACGAATCTCTGGCCAAATTTCTGGTCAGATGGAGGGACGAAGTGCCCCAAGTGGATGACCTGGACGAGCGGCTGGGGGTGAACATGTTCACCAGCGCTTTGGCAACAGGGGACCTGTACCGGGACCTTAGGAGGAACCTCAGCACCAGCTATACCGAGGTGCTGGCTCGGGTGCAGAAATATGCCTCTATCGAAGAGGAGATCAGATTGAGGGACGGCGCGCCAGCGGTCCCATCCCGGAAGCTGGCGGATAGGCTCGGCCCCGGAGGCGGGCCGTCCCCCCCCCCCCCCCCCCCAAGAAGAAAAAGACGGACGGAGGCATGGTTCCGTGGAAGGCCCACCCTGAGGCAAGCCACGAGCGTCCAAAGGATTATCACGTCCCCTTAGCCTACCCCGTGGGCCAGATCTTCGACGCCATCAAAGACAAGGGCCTCCTGAGGGAGCCCCAAGACAAGAAGGCGCTTATGGGTCTTGATGAGACCGCATACTGCGAGTACCACCGGAGGGTCGGCCACCTCACCGACAACTGCAAACAGCTGAGGATGGCCATCGACGAGCTGGTCCGGCAGGGCTACCTCGGCGAGTTCACCCAGCTACTGAAGAAGAATAGCCCAAGGCAGCCAAATCCGAGGTCACGAACATGGCGCCGCGACGATCGGCGCGAGGCTGAACCAAAGGACGTAGATTATCGAAGTGCTCATAAACGTCCGGAGGGGTCCCTCGGCCCGAACGGCGGAAAAAAGAAGTTGGAGATCAAGGTGATCTTCGGGGGTGCTGAGACTGGGGACACACCTGCTGAACGGAAGAAGTTTGAGAGATCCCTCTATGTGGGTTCCATATCAGCCCCCCCAACCAAAAGGAACAAGGCGGAGGCCATCATCTTCGGACCGGCCGACCTGCCGATGTCACCAGCCCCGCACAGGGATGAGTTGGTGATAAGCATGGACGTTAACAATGCGATCGTCCGCCGCGTCCTTGTTGACACTGGGAGCAGCGTGAACATCCTCTACTGGGAGGCGTTCGAAGGGATGAAGCTGAGGAAGGATCAGCTGGCCCCCCTACGCACCCCACTGTCCGGCTTCACAGGGGACTGCATCGACGCGGAAGGCACCATCGGCCTCCCCGTGGAGACCGGGGATGGACCTCACACCACCCGCATCCGGATGACGTTCGTCGTGGTCCGCCTGAAATGTGCTCACAACACAATTTTGGGCCGGCTGAGCTTGGAAGATCTGGAGGCTATATGCTCCGTGCGGCACTCATGCATCAAATTCCCCACTGAGACTGGCGTGGGGGTAGCCCGCACGGATCCTCATATGGCCAGGGCCTGCTACACCAAAGCCATGGAGAGGTTCAGCGAGCGGGAGGCCCGAGTTAACAGCATCTCTGAAAAAGCCAGGCAGGCCGAATTCGACGCTCGTCTGGAACCAGTTGCCCTACTCGAGGAGGTAGAACTGGATGACCCTTCGGACAGGAGGGTGTCCGTCGGTGCCGATCTTGAACCTGAAATCAAGGAGGGGGTAATAGCCGTCCTTCGAAAATTCAAGATCCTATTTGCCAGAGGGCCGGAGGACATGCCAGGCATTGACCCGAACCTCATATGTCACAGACTCGCCGTGCGGCCGGATACCAAGCCCATCCAACAAAAGAAGAGATACATGGCGGCCGACCGGCGAGACTTCATCAAAAAGGAGGCAGCAACGCTTCTTAGCATCAGGCACATCCGGCCGGTCATCCACGTGGAGTGGTTGGCCAATGTGATATTAGCACCGAAGGGCGACACATGGCGGATGTGCGTCGATTACTCGGACCTCAACAAGGCGTGCCCAATGGATCCATATCCGGTGCCGAGAATCGACCTATTGGTGGACGAGACAGCAGGTTGCGAGCTGCTGAGTTTCATGGACGCATTCAGAGGGTATCATCAGGTGTTCATGCACCCAGATGATGCAGAAAAAACGACGTTCGTTACGGCAGACAGCGTGTACTGCTACGTAGTCATGCCATTCGGCCTGAGGAACGCCATGGCTACCTTCCAGAGGATGATCGGGATGTTATTCAAAGACGTACTGGGCAAAACCATGGATGCCTATGTGGATGACATCCTGATCAAGAGCAAGAAGAAGGAAGATCACGTCCGGGACATGGAGAGGATCTTCGGCATCATGGAGAAGGCCAGCATGAGGCTCAATCCAAAAAAATGTGTCTTTACCGTCAAGGGTGGCAAGTTCCTCGGATACATGATGAGCGAGCGCGGGATCGAGCCTAACCCGGAGAAGGTAAAGGCAATAGTTGACATGGAAGCCCCAAGGAATCTGAAGGATGTACAGAGGCTCACCAGACGGCTAGCAGCCCTGAGCCGATTCATGTCAAAGCTGGCAGACAAGGCAATCCCCTTCTTTCAGATCATGAAGAAGGCGAATCCCTTTGAGTGGACGCCGGACTGCCAGGCTGCCTTTGAAGATTTCAAGGCATACCTCTCCTCTCCGCTCGTCCTCACCAAGCGGACCCAGGGGAGCAATTATACATGTACCTGGCAGTAGCAGACTTGGCCGTGAGTGCGGTACTGCTAAAAGAGGCAGAGGGCGTTGATCGGTGTATTTTTTTTTTTAGTGAAGTAAAACGTAGTTGGCTAATCCGAAGAATAACCAGATCACGAGTATCGTCTCTCAAGGAGTGGCAAAGGGAAGTTTTAAATACAGTCCGTGATCACAGGCTAGCACAAGTCATGGTAATCTTTCCGAATGAATATTTTTTTTGGATGGTTTAAAAAAATTAACGAACAGCAAGTGCAAAAATAAATAGATGAAAAAATAAGTAAATTGATTCAGAATATTAAAACAGGGTTCAAATTGAATGGTTCGGGTTCTGGGTGTTCTTTCGGGATTAGAATTAACTAAATTGATTTTTAATTATTCCTGGACAAAAAAAATGAAATCACTTCTCATAGACAAGAATAAAATCATTTTATCACAATCCTAACTTATTTCTAAGATCAGATTGCTTGTATAAGATCCGAGCTAATTTAACTCAATTTCTCATAGACAAGAGTTGAATTAAATCCAAAAATTCATATATGAGGTGATCAAATTCATATAGACAATTATGATTAATCTTATACAATTTTCCAGAAAATTAATTGAATTTCAGAAAAACTAAATTCACACCCTCAAGAACCCATGAACCCTAGCCCCAATTCAAACCCTATAAGAAATTAGTTACTCATACTAAAAATTAACATCACAATCATATTGATAAGCATGATAAGGGCTAGAAAAATTGAAGTAGAATAATTCTCTGGGAAATTCTTAATTATCAACTACAGAAAAACATCTTCGAAAGTAAATTCAGATCTGAAACTAAGTAATGCAAAATATGTTTAACTTACAATGAATGTTTGAAATCTAAATTAACTAGGAGAAAATTGAAAGAGGAGTGCAGTTTAGAAACCGTTCTGATTTTCTTTCTTGCTGATGCGGCTGATTCACTAAGGACAGAACACAAGAATGGAAATAAACTCTGCTGCGGCTAATTGATTTCAGGAACAGAAAGAATCGTAGTGCTACGGCTAACTTCAAAAAAAAATGAATGGAAAGAATGAGTGATACTGATCTGCTCCTAAGTGAACTGCTGCTACGAATAGAAAGGAATATCCCCCTGGTGCGGCTGCTGCCAAGTAAAAAGAACGGTGCTGCGGTTTTTTTTTCCTGTTTGGGCTGCTCGTTCTTTCTTTTTCCTTTGGATTGCACTTGATAACTTCTAAAACAAACCGCCAATGATCCAGTCCAAACATAATGTATTATTCACGCAAACTCGGCCTATACAATAACAACTCACCACACTCTCTAATAACATGTAACTTTACAATCAAATTACTCCAAAAACGTTAAATTGTGTAGAAAAATACTATACTGAATATGAATGCCACCGGGACCGAAAAATAGCAAATTTTTACTCAAAATCCCCAATAGTCACCCGATTAATTATAAAAATTAGACAGTAAACACCCAAAATATGGTTGAAAAGATAGGCACGGAACGAGCCTATCAAATCTCCCCACACTTGAGCGTTGCTTGCCCCCAAGCAACAGTGCAGTAAACCCACGGAAAACATAAATAATCACATGCAACACCTGGTTCAAAAATCATTCACACCAAAAACAAATGACTGCACAAGGTCTTTTCTTTCTTAACAACGAAACCAAGATTCACATGTTAAACAATATTTTCAAAAGTAAAATTCCTCTCCAACCGACTAAAATGTAGAGAAAAGCATGATTGTCCCAACGGTGCAGGTGTGTGAAATCCAAACCACCAATCATTCCAAAAACGGAACTAGAAACAAAAAAAAAACGGAATTATGAGTTTGAAATGGAAAATTCTGAAATTGTTAATTTGAGACAGATAGATTCGAAATTCACTTCAAAATTAAGAACTAGTAATGTAAAAACTGCTAACACTTACAATTCTTGCTCAAAAGGTAAATTGAATTGAAATAAATTGAATGAAAAAGAAGTTCCTTAGCTTTTGTTACTGCTGCGGCTAATTCCAGGAGTAAAGAAGAAAAGAAAAATTGCTGCTACTTTCTTCTTGATTGCTGCTGGTGCGGCGAATTGACAGAGCAGAACGAATTGAGCAAAACTACTCCTGCGGCTGATTTCTCCCAACAGAAAAGAACCAAAAAAAAACCCCTCTTGGTGCGGCTGCTGCCAAGTAAAAAGAATGGTGCTGCGGTTTTTTTTTTCTTTTTGGGCTGCTCGTTCTTTCTTTTTCCTTTGGATTGCACTTGATAACTTCTAAAACAAACCGCCAATGATCCAGTCCAAACATAATGTATTATTCACGCAAACTCGGCCTATACAATAACAACTCACCACACTCGCTAATAACATGTAACTTTACAATCAAATTACTCCAAAAACGTTAAATTGTGTAGAAAAATACTATACTGAATATGAATGCCACCGGGACCGAAAAATAGCAAATTTTTACTCAAAATCCCCAATAGTCACCCGATTAATTATAAAAATTAGACAATTAATACCCAAAATATGGTTGAAAAGATAGGCACGGAACGAGCCTATCAAATCTCCCCACACTTGAGCGTTGCTTGCCCCCAAGCAACAGTGCAGTAAACCCACGGAAAACATAAATAATCACATGCAACACCTGGTTCAAAAATCATTCACACCCAAAACAAATGACTGCACAAGGTCTTTTCTTTCTTAACAACGAAACCAAGATTCACATGTTAAACAATATTTTCAAAAGTAAAATTCCTCTCCAACCGACTAAAATGTAGAGAAAAGCATGATTGTCCCAACGGTGCAGGTGTGTGAAATCCAAACCACCAATCATTCCAAAAACCCAAGAATTGTGTTATAAAACTCGGAATACTCGTGATTCTTTTGTTTTTTTTTTAATATGAAAAGTTGACCAGGTTCTGGATTACAGGACTGATTCAAGCTCTAGGGCCTAGGAGTTTATCTCATTACTGTGTACTCAACTCTCTCACAGGGTGATTCGCGAGATGAGCAGAGCCCCATTTCGAGGATGAAATTCTCGACACAAGAAGTGTAACCCCATTACAAGAATCAGTTACCTACTTAGCATGAAGTTATCCCGATATGCTTAGAAAGCAGAGCTCCTTATGGAGTAAGGATTTTCAACACCTGGCCAGTCAAGCAATTATTGAAGCGGACTAGTGAATCACGAGTAAAACCGAATTTAATCAACACAAATCAAACCATCCAACATGCCAACATTTCTGAGAATATACACACCACCCCGATGATTACACCATTACTAATTCTTTCCAAGAAAGATGGAGGAGATGGAAAATTACAATAGAAAATAAAGATTAACAAGTTACCTCTGTTGCATTGCTAAACCAGAAAAAAGAATTTGTACACCTCAAAATGTTCTTGGGCAGAATAATTTCATCACCAAATGTCATGACCAAGCTAAAACCAAACCTCCCCACACTTAGGGGTGACATCGCCCTCGAGGTCAAAGAAAAGATTAAAACAACAATAACAGGGGCAAGTTAAAGAATAAAATGATTTTCAGCCCGACAGCACATCATAATCAGAATGATAATCAACACAATTCAACAAAGGAGTAATATGAGAGTAACCACACATTATTAACAGCGTAGTAAGAGTTAGCAGAATACTGTACAAACCAAACAGCAGTGAATAGCCTCCTTAATAACTCAAAACTCAGCCCCCTCGATGCATATATACCGCTGAATCTTGCACACAGACTGCCTTGTACACTACTTGAACTCTTTCAATCTTGAGTAAGTGTGAATGGCTGTCTGGTGCACTGGTGAAGTAAAAACCAGCCTACGGGCACTGCTTTGTCCACTGAAACGTGCTCAAAAATGCGGCACAAGAAGAAAATGAAACACTCTGGCACCTTGCTCGTGATTTGACTGCTACTGTGAAGGTTATTTCCAATGAAGAAACACATTAAGGCAGCCTGGTTCACAGTCTGTTAGAACTTCTATGAGCATCAAACTTTGTATCATGTGTAGAATGGCATTCCCAGAAGGTTTTTAGCCCAAATTAGTTGGGAAAGAAGCTGCTGAAACTCCTCTGTCTGCTCATACGCCGGGTCATAAAATCAAAGCGCCAATTCAACCTGAATCTGCCAGCAGAGTCTTGTCCATCAAAATGGTCTACTGTCAACGGCCAGCTTATCTATTCCTCAAAAATCAGCATGTGGCGCCATATAGAAGCTGCCAACGGCCCCACATCTTGAGCATCCCACTCTGTGAAGCAAACTGCAACTTGTAGCTCTGAGGAACTCCATCTACATAGGACCGTAATTCTTCCGAAATCAGTTCATGACTCCCATGCCGCACCTGCAATTCAAAACAAAGAACTCCAACCGCACAACCACAGGAAGAAATCACAAAAACAATGGGAAAAAAAATGCAGAAACAAGAAATAACAAACTCCTAATTCTTTTTTTTTTTCTTTTTCTTTTTTTTTTCCTTTTTTTTCTGGTGGGTTGTCTCCCAGAAGCGCTTCTTTAACGTCATTAGCTTGACGATAGATCATGCTCAGCCGCTAATCTCCTTAAGATAAAGAACCTCCCTTTCAGTGCTCACTTTCTCACCATAATAGAGCTTCACTTGATGACCATTAACCTTAAAGTTTCCCCTTTCAGGATCATGCAACTCAATGGTGCCATACGGATAGATCTCAGTCACTGTAAATGGCCCTGACCATCTGGAACGCAGTTTTCCAGGGAACAACTTCAACCTAGAATTATACAACAGCACCTGATCTCCAACTTTAAACTCGCGGGACTGCTTGATGTGCCTATCATGATATTGCTTCACTCGCTCCTTATACAAATGGTTGTTGTGGAAGGCCATAGCACGCCACTCTTCAAGCTCATTCAGCTTATAAAATCTCTCCTTTCCAGCTCCTTCAAGGTCAAATACAACATTCTTCAGAGCCCAAAATGCCTTATGCTCGACCTCCACTGGAAGATGGCATGATTTTCAATAAACCAACCCGAATGGTGTGGCGCCAACAGGAGTCTTATATGCTGTTCGAATAGCCCACAAAGCATCATCAAGCTTTTCTGCCCAGTCCTTTCTTGACCGACCAACTGTCTTTTCCAATACTGCCTTGATTTCTCTATTTGAATTTTCAACCTAGCCTTGAGACTGGGGATGGTAGGCCACTCCGCTTCTGTGCTGAACACCATATCGCTGAAGGATACGGGCCATAAGGTCACTTCTGAAATGGCTGCCCCTATCACTGATCAAGATTCTGGGAACACCAAATCGTGCAAATAACTTCTTTAAGAATCGGACAACCACCTTAGTGTCATTCGTGGAACATGCTTGGGCCTCCACCCACTTGGACACATAATCAACAGCAACTATTATGAACTTGTTCCCTTTCGAACTCGGGAAAGGGCCCATGAAATCAATTCCCCACACATCGAACACTTCACATGGCAAAATATAGTGTTGTGGCATCTCATCCCTCTGGGATATGTTCCCAGTCCTCTGGCACTGATCACAAGCTGAAGCATAAGCATGAGCATCCTTAAAAATGGTGGGCCAATAGAATCCACAATCAAGAACTTTCCTGGCAGTCCTCTCTCCTGAGAAGTGACCTCTTGTGGGTCCAGTATGACAATGCATTAGAATCTCCTTTCCTTCTTGTTCAGGTACACATCTTCTCACAACTTGGTCAGCACAAATTTTGAACAGGTGTGGATCATCCCAGAAGTAATGCTTGGCTTCAGACTTCAATCTCTTAATCATGTGGCGAGACATCCTGGCAGGTTCAACTTTGCCCACAAGAAAGTTAGCGAGATCTGCATACCAAGGCATCTTTGAACTGTGTTGAATGGCTAGAAGCCTCTCATCTGGAAAAGTCTCTTCAAGCTCAAACTTTTTGAATGTCTCCACCACTTCAGTCTCTAGTCTAGATAGATGATCTGCTGCTTGGTTAGCAGTCCCCTTTCGGTCTTTGATCTCCACATAGAATTCCTGCAACAACAAAATCCAGCGGAGAAGCCTAGGCCTTGCATCATTCTTCTGAAGTAAATACCTCAAAGCCGCATGGTTAGTGAAGACAATTACCTTAGAAAGAATGATGTAGGGTCTAAATTTCTCCAAAGCAAACACAATAGCCAAAAACTCTTTTTCAGTAGTGGTATAATTGAGCTGAGGCCCCGCTAAAGTCTTACTGGCATAGTAGATAGGGCGAAAGTGCTTATCCTTGGTTTGACCCAGGATAGCCCCAACCACTTGATCGCTAGCATCACACATTATCTCGAAAGGTAAAGACCAATCGGGTGTAGCAAGAATGGGAGCCTCAGTCAATTTCCTTTTCAAAGTATCAAAAGCAACAACACAATCAGGTGAAAAATCAAAAGGTACATCTTTCCCTAAAAGATTAGTCAAAGGTCGGGCAATCTTAGAGAAATCCTGTATGAACCGGCGGTAAAAGCCAGCGTGCCCAAGAAAGCTACGGATGGCTTTTACTGTGGTTGGATATGGAAGTTTCTCTATTGCCACAACCTTCGCCTTATCAACCTCAATTCCCTTTTCAAAAACCTTATGCCCTAAAACAATACCCTCCCTGACCATAAAGTGGCATTTCTCCCAACTTAAGGCCAAGTGGGTCTCCTCACATCTAGCAAGCACCATGTCAAGGTTAGCTAAGCAAGAGTCAAAAGTATCACCGAACAAAGAAAAATCATCCATAAATACTTCCATGAAATCGCCAATAAACCTGTCAAAAATGGCTAACATACAACGCATAAATGTAGCAGGAGCATTACACAAACCGAAGGGCATCCTACGGAAAGCAAAAGTGCCAAAGGGACAAGTAAAGGTGGTCTTCTCCTGATCTCTAGGGTCTACATGAATCTGAAAGTACCCACTCATCCCATCTAAGAAACAATAATACCCGTGCCCTGCTAAATTCTCAACTAGCTGATCAATAAATGGCAAAGGGAAGTGGTCCTTCCGGGTGGCATCATTTAGTTTTCGGTAATCAATCACCATCCGCCACCCTGACACAATGCGAGTAGGTATTAACTCCCCTTTGTCATTCTCAACAGCAGTCATTCCCCCTTTCTTAGGAACCATATGAATAGGACTCACCCAACTACTATCAGAAATTGGGTATATAATGTCTGCATCTAAAAGCCTCAATATCTCGGTTCTCACAACCTCCATCAAATTAGGGTTCAACCTGCGCAGTGGTTGCACTGTCGGGCTGAACCCTTCCTCAATGCTAATCCTATGTGTGCAAAAGGTAGGATCGATCCCCTTAATATCCCCCAGCGTGCGGGCAATGGCCCCTTCACGCCGCCTAAGCAAGGACACAACCTTATCTTTTTCATCTCTCTCTAAATCAGAAGCAATGATAATGGGGTGTTTGCCCTCATCATCCAATGAAGCGTACTGTAGGTGTTCTGGGAGCCTTTTAAGCTCAGAAAACTGCTCACATGGGGGTGTGTCAACAACAATACTACCTGAAACCTCTTGAGAGGCTTCTCCTAGCAAATCATCAACAGAGCATTTAAGTTCATGAGATAACATTTCATCATCACACATACCCACATCTAAGACCTCACCACATGCAGTATCATCAGAATAATCAATCTCACCCTGGCCCCCAAATAAATAATCCTCAATGCACTCATACATATGAAGAAAATTACAGCTCTCAGTTTGTGCCTCGGGGTGGTTCATAACTTCTGAGAGTCGAAAAGTACAAGTGTCCTCTCCAATTCTCAGAGTCAATGAACCATCAGACACATCAATAACAGCACGGGCAGTGGCCAAGAAAGGCCGCCCCAAAATAAGAGGGGTACCACGATCCTCCTCTATATCCATAACGACAAAGTCTACAGGAAAAATAAACTCACCAACCCTGACTAGGACGTCCTCAATAATACCACTTGGGTACTTAACAGAGCGATCAGCTAATTGAAGACACATCCTAGTGGGTTTCATTCCACCCAGTCCCAACTTATTAACAAGAGAAGCTGGCATCAAGTTGATGCTGGCTCCTAGATCAGCTAGTGCATTTTTAAAAACATAATCATGAATAGAACAAGGTATGGTGAAAGAACCTGGATCCTTGAGCTTTTCCGGCATCATTTTTGTCACCACAGCTGAACACTCAGCATTTAGGTCAACCACAGAGTACTCCTCCAGCCTCTTTTTGTTGGTGATTAAGTCCTTCAGGAACTTTGCATATTTAGGCATCTCCGCAAGTACTTCTGTGAGTGGCATATCCACATGTAGTTTGCGAATCATCTCCATAAACTTGTATTCTCTCTTGCGGTCCTCGCCCTTCTTGACACGAGCAGGGAATGGAACAACTGGTGCATTAGCCCTCTTGGCCTCTTGTTGAAGTGTATTCGGCTCGATGATTGCCTTGCCCTCTCTCTGGCCTGGCTGTTCAGAATTGAACTCTAGTTCATCTTCAGATTGTCTTTGAATAGGTTTTGGGACATTGACTGGCTCTGCACTCTTTCTTGGACAGTTAGGAACATTCTTGGCTTGGCTCTCCTTCGCATCCACCATTGGTTCAGGAACTTGCTTCCCGTTGCGCAGATTTATTGCATTCACATGCTCTCTTGGGTTTAGCTCTGTAGTGCTGGGAAGGCTTTCAGACTGCCTCCCGGAAGGACCTCCAAAGAATCTGTTCTCTAGTTCCCGCATTCGTTGCTCATGTTGCAGCTCAAGGTTCCTCAACCGCTGCTCCATCAATATCTTTTCCTCTCTTGCCCTTTTATCTCTTAATTCATTTTCTTCTCTAGCCCGTGTCAGCTCTGCAAGCACAAATCTTGTTGGGAATGAGCTGAATTATCTTGTCTGATATGTGGGGGCACATAAGGCTGATTGCTGCCACTTCCTTGGCCTCGTTGGTACCCACCTTGGCGGTTAGTATCTCTCCACTGGTTTGCACCACTCTGAAAATTATTCCTCTGGTTGTTGTAGCCAGCAAAGTTACCTCGGTTTCCTTGGTATTGAGGTGCTAGTGGACCCTCTCCTTTCTTAGCATATTCCATAAGATTTACTTCTTGAGGTGAAATGGGCTCTTCAAAGAATTGAGGACATGAATTGGTCAGGTGGGCTCCGAAACAATGATCACACGAAAGCACCATGCCTCTCACTAGATTCTGGTTTGGCATTGGTCGAACACTCCTCTGGTTCATCCCCTGGCCACCTTGGTGTTGGTTCTGCGCCTGAGCTTCATAGAGTTTCTCAAACTTTAGGACAAGAGCATCCAATTTTGCGGCAGCAACTGTACTAGAATCAACCTCATATAATCCTGCCTTCTGTGGAGCTCTTTCACTTCGCTCATCATACCAGTACCTCTCATTTGAGGTAATAGTCTCTATCAGTTCTTCACCTTCTCCTGATGTCAGCCTTAGGATTGAACCTGTTTTAGAAGAGTAATCCAACTCCTTTTTGCTCTCAATGGACAGCCCATTGTAGAAGTGAAATATGGTGTCCATGCTCTCCATGATGTTGGATGGACAGTTAATTCGGAGCTCCTTGTACCGCTCCCATGCCTCACTCAATGTCTCGTTCCTCCCTTGCCTAAAGTTCTGGAGAGTTGCCTTGGCTTTGATTCCTGCGGATGCTGGGCAGTACTGTTTCATGAAAGCTTGGTATAATTCATCCCAGGTGGCAAAAGTGTGGCTATCGAGCCAGTGTTGCGCCTTGTCCCTTAGAGTGAATGGGAACAAAAGTAGTTTGTTAGCTGCTTCAGAAACTCCATTGATTCGGGAAGTCCGACAGAGACGGTTGAACCAACGCATATGTGTCTGGGCGTCTTCATGTCTCATCCCTCCGAACTGGTTTCTCTGGGCTAGACTGATTAATCCGGGAGATAGTTGGTAATTTGCAGCTTCAATGCCCGACATGGTTATTCCATCAACCTCTGCAAATTGCGGAGTAATTTGTTCATACATTGTCCTCCTTGCGGGCTGTTGTTCTCCGGCCATGTTTCTTGACCTTCCTTTTCTTCTTCTCAAAATACTCTCGGGGTTTGGATTCAATGGGATCAAGCCTTCAGTTCCCCGAGCACGTGTGTGCATACACCGGTTCCTGCAGCTTAGTTCACGTGCAAAGAACACCAAAAACGACAAACAAATAACAGGAAAAAAAATAGAAAGTCTCACCGACTTGCTTTTACCTATTCCACAGAAAGTACTTAACAAACAACTGTGCCACTCCCCGGCAACGGCGCCATTTGATCGGTGTATTTTTTTTTTAGTGAAGTAAAACGTAGTTGGCTAATCCGAAGAATAACCAGATCACGAGTATCGTCTCTCAAGGAGTGGCAAAGGGAAGTTTTAAATACAGTCCGTGATCACAGGCTAGCACAAGTCATGGTAATCTTTCCGAATGAATATTTTTTTTGGATGGTTTAAAAAAATTAACGAACAGCAAGTGCAAAAATAAATAGATGAAAAAATAAGTAAATTGATTCAGAATATTAAAACAGGGTTCAAATTGAATGGTTCGGGTTCTGGGTGTTCTTTCGGGATTAGAATTAACTAAATTGATTTTTAATTATTCCTGGACAAAAAAAAATGAAATCACTTCTCATAGACAAGAATAAAATCATTTTATCACAATCCTAACTTATTTCTAAGATCAGATTGCTTGTATAAGATCCGAGCTAATTTAACTCAATTTCTCATAGACAAGAGTTGAATTAAATCCAAAAATTCATATATGAGGTGATCAAATTCATATAGACAATTATGATTAATCTTATACAATTTTCCAGAAAATTAATTGAATTTCAGAAAAACTAAATTCACACCCTCAAGAACCCATGAACCCTAGCCCCAATTCAAACCCTATAAGAAATTAGTTACTCATACTAAAAATTAACATCACAATCATATTGATAAGCATGATAAGGGCTAGAAAAATTGAAGTAGAATAATTCTCTGGGAAATTCTTAATTATCAACTACAGAAAAACATCTTCGAAAGTTAATTCAGATCTGAAACTAAGTAATGCAAAATATGTTTAACTTACAATGAATGTTTGAAATCTAAATTAACTAGGAGAAAATTGAAAGAGGAGTGCAGTTTAGAAACCGTTCTGATTTTCTTTCTTGCTGATGCGGCTGATTCACTAAGGACAGAACACAAGAATGGAAATAAACTCTGCTGCGGCTAATTGATTTCAGGAACAGAAAGAATCGTAGTGCTACGGCTAACTTCAAAAAAAAATGAAAGGAAAGAATGAGTGATACTGATCTGCTCCTAAGTGAACTGCTGCTACGAATAGAAAGGAATATCCCCCTGGTGCGGCTGCTGCCAAGTAAAAAGAACGGTGCTGCGGTTTTTTTTTTCCTTTTTGGGATGCTCGTTCTTTCTTTTTCCTTTGGATTGCACTTGATAACTTCTAAAACAAACCGCCAATGATCCAGTCCAAACATAATGTATTATTCACGCAAACTCGGCCTATACAATAACAACTCACCACACTCTCTAATAACATGTAACTTTACAATCAAATTACTCCAAAAACGTTAAATTGTGTAGAAAAATACTATACTGAATATGAATGCCACCGGGACCGAAAAATAGCAAATTTTTACTCAAAATCCCCAATAGTCACCCGATTAATTATAAAAATTAGACAATTAATACCCAAAATATGGTTGAAAAGATAGGCACGGAACGAGCCTATCAGGCGTTCAGCGACCAATCTATTTTGTGAGCAAGGCGCTGAACGGCCCGGAAACCAGATACACACTGATGGAGAAGACGGTCCTCGCCTTGATAGCATCCATCAAACGCCTGGCACCGTACTTCCAAGCGCACCCAGTGACTGTTTACACAACACAACCTCTTGCCACGGTCCTCAGGAACCCCATGGCCAGCGGGAGAATAACCAAGTGGTCCCTGATGATCGGCCAGTACAACATAGAGTTCAAGCCGAGGCCGACGATCAAGGGACAGGCGCTGGCGGATTTCATTGCTGAATGCACTGCGCGCACCGAGGATGATCCCCAAGATGACCATGATTTCGACAACTGGTGGGAGATGTACACCGATGGGGCCTCAAGTGCGCGGGGTTTTGGCGGAGGAGCGGTGATTACATCGCCTGAGGGTTTCAAGGCCTATTACTCCATGAAGTTCGAGTTCAAAGTCACCAACAACGAGGCTGAATACGAGGCACTGATTGCGGGATTGAAATGTGCAAAGGTACTAGGGGCAGCTCGTCTGAAGGTGAGGATGGACAGCCAGCTGGTGGTGACCCAGATGAATGGGACGGCTGAAACCAGAGAAGAAAGGATGAAGGTCTATAAGGAACTGGCGGAGGAGCAAACCGCGCGGTTCGAACAGGTAATAATCGAGCAGGTGTCACGGGTGGAGAACGCCGAGGCTGACATATTATCCAAGCTAGGCAATCCCCCGACCGACGACCCCGCGACGAGCATTCCCCGGCACATTAGGGGCTTCGTCAGGCAAGAGACGCTACCAGCACTGGCGACGGACGTCATCCAGGTAGAGGCCATCTCCATCGCCGAACCTAATTGGTCGAAGGAGATCGCAGACTACCTCAGGGATGGGACGCTCCCCGAGCCTGAAGATGATGGCAGTACCGGAAGGGCAGGTTGGGTAAAGAGGTGTGCTCTCAATTTCGAACTCATTGATGGACAACTCTACAAGAAGACGTTCGGCGGGCCATACTTGAGATGCCTCCCACCGAGCTTGGCAGCGGCCGTCATCGAAGAGGTACATGAAGGCATCTGCTCCAGCCACCAGGGTCCCCGTACCTTGGCCAGGAAAATCATTCTGCAGGGGTACTATTGACCGACCATCCAGCAGGATTGCTTCAATCACACTCGGAAATGTGTAGTGTGCCAGCAGTATGCTCCTGTTCCCGGACGGCCGGCAAGTTTCTACACTCCAATGACGGTTGCATTACCTTTTGCCAGATGGGGCATAGACTTGTTGGGTCCCCTACCGACTACGACCGGCGGAAGGAAGTTTGTTATCGTGGCAATCGACTATTTCACAAAGTGGGTAGAAGCCGAACCGCTTGCCTCCATCACTGAATATCAATGTCAGAGGTTCCTCTGGCAGAATGTCATATGTCGCTTCGGGATCCCTGAGCAGGTCATCACAGACAACGGCCGGCAGTTCGTCGGCAGAGGTTTTGAGGCATACTTGGCCAAGTGGGGCATCAGGCACTCCAAAGCCTCGGTGGCCTACCCACAGGCCAACGGCCAGGTGGAGAACATGAACCGGACCATCATGGATGGAATCAAGAAGAAATTGGAAGATTATGCGTCCACCTGACCGGAGCAGCTCAACTATGTCCTCTGGACATACAGGACGACCCCAAGGACGGCAACCGGCGAAACACCTTTCGCCTTGGCATACGGTTTTCAGGCCAAAGTGCCAACGGAGGTGCTAGTTCCCACATATCGCACGAAGCATTTCCAACCGGCCGGAGGATAATGAGGCCAACCTAGCAGCTCGTCGCATGGAGGAATATCACCGAGCCACCCAAAGATACTTCAACAAGGCGGTGAAGATCCGCGAAATTGAAGGTGGGGACCTCGTACTCAGAAAGAGAGAGAAGAGCAAACCGCTCGAAGGTGGCAAGATGGCCAAGAATTGGGAAGGGCCGTACAGGGTCATGCAAAGATACAACCAGGGGACGTTCCTCCTCCATACCTTGGAGGGGAACCACGCTGGGATCTGGAACGTCGAACACCTGAAGAAATTCTACCAGTAGTTAGAGATAGATCATTTTTGTCATTTCCGGTCGTAGCACCATGTAACATTACCGATCGACTCCTCTATACTAAAGAATTCCTTCTTGTCTTCTACTTCCTATAGAGATTGAAGCTGAAGTGCTATTGAAAAGATTTCCTCCTCAAAAAAAAAGGAGAAGGGGAGATAAACTCCCATGAGAGAGGGAGTCTTGACGAGGTATGCCAGATCTTCCCATTTCCCGCAAAAGACGAACGACTCCTGATACGAAGGTTGATCGGAGGGGGGGGGGGGGGGGGGGGCTAGACAAACCAAAGGGAACCTCGGCAAGATAAACAGTTCCTCCCATGTCTCGTGGATCGAAGAACACCTTCTGCCAGAGCAGAAGGCTAGTAGGGCCACGCGCATGGGATGCCGAAGCAGGGAACCCGCGATAGGGTAAACCAGTGTCCTTCTTGCGATCGGTGAATACCGAACGTCTTCTTCGAAGTAAGAAGGTTAGTAGGATCCCGACAAGGACGAACGAAGAAACGGGAACCCTGACAGGGTATACTAGTTCCTCCCCCTTGATGGACGGATGACGAACGTCCTCTGCGAAGCCAGAAGACGAGTAACTCACGACTGGGGACGAACAGAGATAGGGAATCCCGACGTGGATAAACCTGTTTCTTCTCAGAGTGGGGATGACGAACGTCTCCTGCGAAACCAGGAGACTAGTAATCACGAATCATGGGAAGAACAAAGGCCGACAAAAGACTCCAAAAAAAATGTGTGACAAACATGGAGCAAGAATGATTTTTATTCTTCGGCACTAATGACCGGAAAGATACAATGCGAGATATAATGTAAACAATGTGAGAAAGTACAAGACTATGAGCGGAGAATCAATTTTGATTGACGTCCAGAGTTGGGACCTTGAAAGGAACCTGCTTGGCCCTCTCCCTAGCTTCGGCCTCCTCCCGATCTCCACGCTCCTTGAGCAGCTCAAGGGCTCCCTTATGGGCGTCTACCATCAAGGAATCAAACCCAGCTGCTGCAGGATCAAAGGGAGCTCCAAAATGACGCTCGAAGACCGGGAGATTCTCTGCCACAAGGCCGACCATACCCTTGAGGTAGGTGTCGTCGGCAAGATCATCGAAGAAGCGCTCCCCAGTGGGGTGGCCTGGAGCAATTTAATGCCATCTAAATAAGGATCTCGACAAGTGGCAAGATACTCCCCGACAAACTTTGGAAGAAACTTCCTGGCCATGGTCTGGATGGCACCGGTGTAGGCTTTGGACTTCTGAAATTCGATGGAACCAAATTCCTTGATCTTCGAAACATCGGCCTCGTAGATGGAGACATGATTATCTACACCTTTGCGACGAACGTCCACCCCGGCTTGGGAAACCGCCCACATCCGGCTCCGCAAATCCACAAGCTTGGCCTCATGCTTCCTCAGGAGTTCCTTCTGAGAAGCACTCTCTTGGACAAGCTTGTCGAAGGCATCAGCCTTCTCCTGGAGGGTCCCAACCCTGCCCTTAGCATTCCTTAGCAGAGCGTCGCATTCGGTTTGTACAAGGGCCATCTCCCTCCCCTGCTGCTCGAAGGCCATCCGAGCCCTATGGAAGTAGAGCCCGGCCTTGTCCAGGGTGCTCTGCCCACACTCCAGAAGATCCTCGGGGGCCTCATGTGCGGCGAAATCTTGGGGAACCTTGAGATTGAGGCCACACCAGATGGAAGACGCGGTCTGGCCAAAAAGCATCATCGACTCCTTACGAGGGCCAACTCCGGAGAATTCGATAAGGCCAAGAGAGGACCCGTTGGTTTCTGGGGGCGAAGGAGGACGAGCATCGTCAGAGCCCTTGGTAGCTTGGACATCCTCATCCCGGAGGCGACGAACCTCAGAGTTCAGTGGAGGAGAAATAGGGGGCTTGTTCCGGGTAGAGGGTTTCCGCTTCAGGGGGCTCCCAGGCTCACCATCGGAGTCATCGGCCACTATGATGGCCTTGGAGGCGGTACCATCGACGCGCGACCTCTTTGAAGCCCCGGCCTCCGTCGCATCATCTGACCGCCCCCTGCTCGCCCGAGGCTCGATCTTGGGGACGAGCGGCCTTCTGCCCTTGTCCTGGTCCTTGTTTTCGCGGTCGGGGGTGTGAGAAGCCACGTTGGTACGTCCCATGGATAATGTAGATGGGAAAACTCCTGCAGGAAAGGAACCAAGGCGTTCAGAACCATAACAACGAAAGGATGATAGAACAATGCAAGTACAAACAGACGCACCTAGTCCGGCCCGAGCTTTGAAAGGCTCGGCCACCAGCGACTGGAGATTCTGGACGCCAAGTCCGGCTATGCGCTTGGCATAGCCAAGCTCCTCATCCGTCATAGGTGGCGGAATGGACTTCACCGGATAGGCGTTCCACCTATCGGAGAATGGCATCGGGGAGCCTACTTCGGCGAGGGTTAAATACCGCTCCTCCCAGCCGTCTGGATTCCCGGCGTTGTTTGAGAACAGGACCATGGAGGGACGCGCAATCAGGGTTAAATACCCCGTACGTCCGAAGGGGGACAACTGGAAGAAATGGTGCAACAAATCTACGGTGGGGGTCACGCCAACGCTGTGGCACCTAATTATAAAACCCGCGATGATCCTGTAAGCGGCGAGGATGAACTGAGCAGGCGTCACTTTATGGCCCCTAAAAAATTCTATATGGAAGCCGTGGAGGGGGAAGAGAAGGCTAGCTATAACGGAGTCTAAATGGACCACCACATAGCCGGGCAGATGGCGCATTGGATTGCGCAGACGACGGTCGTCATAAACCCTCGGAGGGAGGAACCACTGGCTTATCAACCGACGGTCTGCGCTCAAAAGACGCTGGCACTGGCGACGAACGCCGGAAAAATTAAGGTGGTGACGGGGGGGCCGAGGTGGCATACCCCGCTCATAAAACTCTAGGTCATCACCGGAGGAGCACCCGTCGTCA